AAGGAAAAGGAGGAGGAGGAAGCCTTTCCTCTTTATTCAGAATTGTAATCTACTTAAGTATTGCGGCTAAAGTCACTTGGATGTGATAGTGGTGAAATCATAGTATCAGGTGAGAAACATGTTATTTTAAATGTTTCACTTGAAAAGATATACAGATAGTGTTTTCCTTTAAGCTAAGTTCATTAAGCCCTTCCTATTCTCAATAAATAAGTAAGATAGGGCAATTCAGAAAGACTCCAAACTGTTAGGAGGACGGTCTTTTACCATTTCCATTTACTGCCTGCAGAGAGAATGAAAATCATGTCATCCACACACATACTCACGAGGCCAAATCAAGAATGTATATGATTTAACAGTAATGTATACCTACAAAGTACGAATAAACTCAATGAGAAAAAAAGAAGGCATAGGATGGTCTCATGCAATAGGGTTATGTAGTACCCTTGAAGGGTTAAGGCCTAGATGCCTTACTCTTCTAAATTAGTCATTCTCCCTCGTGTCTTTAAAGGTTTTGCTTTTAGGTTCTTAAAAAGAAAATAGAATTGCACGTGTCTTTGCAGTTTCTACTGAGTGACAACTGCTGTCTCCTGGAAACCATGAGGTGATTATTTCCATTCCAATACTCTCTCCCCCTCCTGAGAAAACAAGAGCACAGCCGGGCGTGGTGGTGCACGCCTGTAATCCCAGCACTCGGGAGGCTGAGGCAAGAGGATTGCTGTGAGTTCAAGACCAGCCTGGGTTACATAGTGAGTGAGTTCCAGGTCAGTCTCAACTGCATAGTGAGACCCTGTCTCAAAACAACAAGAACAGCAACAAAAACCCAAAACACAAGAGCACAATTTTAATGGTGCTGTAGAACCAGAAATCCCAGTTAGAGTAATGACATTTCTTAATTCTGTGCTGTTTCCTTGTCAAATTCAGAACAACTCCATTATGCAAGCCATTTTTATTATCATGTTTTTCTATTTAATTTTATTTTCATATTTTCTTTATGACATCTGAGTTTCTTTTGAATTTTTTATTTTTACTCGTTTTTATTCTTTTAATTATTCAAAAATGGGCATCTGAAATGAACAGATATTTCCCAGATAAGGAAATAAAAGCAGCAAATAAAAATATGAAAAAATGTTCAACATCACTGGTCATTCAAGAGATGCAGATGAAAACGACACTGAGATTCCACTTCACCCAGAAAGAATGGCTGCTATCAAGAAATCAACCAATAACAATGTTGGTGGGGTTATGGGGAGAAAGGAGCCATTATAATCATTAAAAAACATGTTTCTAAATTTAAAGTTGAAGCCTTGTGTTAGCCATACTTATGTAGGGAAACAGAAACAATAGGAACATAGACTGAGATATACAGTATGATTGGCTTATGTGCTTATGAAGGTTGAAAAACCCCTACAACAAGCATCCTGCAAGCTAGAGAAAAAGGGACAATAAGTGATGGACTTCATTCTAAAAATGAGGATCTGAGAACCAAGATATTGCAATTCCCAGTCTGAGAACCAGGCTTCTGATGTTCCAGAGCAGGAAAAAATGTGTCCCTCACTGAAACAGAGAGAATCTGTCTTTCCTGAACCTTTGGTTTTACGTGGACCCTCATCAGACGATATGATTCCCAGGAACACCGGGGAGGGCAGATTTTCTTCATTCCTTCTACTGATTCCTTCACTAATTTCCAGAAATGATCTTAACTATTTCATACCCCGAAATAATGTTTTACCAACTAGCTGGACATTCATAAACTCTGTCAAATTGGCACTTAAGATGAATCGTCACAAATCTCATATAGAACAATGATACTTGTGTTTCTTCTCCTCCCCTTCCCACTGCCCCCTCCAATTGGCTCACTCTTTTCCTTTAAAGAAGGGTTGAGGGTGAGAGAACTTATATTTGGTAACTAAAACAAAAGAACCTTATGCATTGCTTTGATTCTTCCTATCACAATATATGATTTTGTTCTTAGCCCACAAAAAAATAACAGGAAAAATTATTGCCTTTGGAAATTGCTGTTGGAATGTAGCACTACGACGTGTTGTATAGAGAAAACTGAAAACTCATGAATGCAAAAGAGCTAGAATGACAGAGATTGAATTGAAAACCTAAAATACCCCTTCGTATGCTCAAGTCAGTCAGATCTTGTATTTCGTGGAGTGAAAGTTTTGCCCAAGCACCCAAAGCCAACTGAGGGATCTGCTGAGTATTCAGCAAACTGTTGGTCTCAGATCTGGCTATTATTTGATTAAGAAATTTTAATTTGTCTTAGCCATTCTGTGAATATAATTTAGCAACTCTCCCTAACTTCAATATTAGCCAAAATTTTGAGTGAAGTACTATTATGCTGCACACAAAGAAGGGAAAGCAGATGTGGAAACTAATTTTCAAATTTGCTGAGCAGATTTCCAGCTCCCAAGAGGATAGCAACCCTTACTACACCTGGATATCATTAAATTTCACATCACTTTTTGTGCCAAAATGAAACCAGAGCTAAATTTAGAAACTCAAGATTAAGCAGCCATCTGGGACAACATTGCTGAAAATTGTAGAAACTATGTTCTCTAAAATTATGCCCTATCTTTCCACATAAAAACACAAGACAAACAAACAAATTACCTATGGTCACTGTCCTACTGATGACACTTCTAACTCGATAGGAAGAAGCTTCTACCACTAAGAGAGTTTTTAATAAAATGAAAAAAAAAATCATGTTATGAATTTGATCAAAGTCAATATGGAGAATTCTAACCAAATAACAGAAACAATTTCCTTGATAGATGTTCACTACTAACACCTAAACAAAATAGGGCATATATAAATGACTGTATTTTCCAGCTTCCTTCCCATACTCTCTGTATGACAGTGTTTCTCAATCAGGGAGAAAAATGACTCCCTTGGGGGAAACCTCCGAATCTTGAAGGAAAGGAAATCTTGTTCAATAAAGTTCCTTCAAACTAAACTGTTATCATTTTGGCAAAAATTTCCTGTTGCTCTTTTGAATACAAACAAAAATAGAAGGCTGAAAAAGACATCCCCTTACAGGAGAGTACATCAAAGTTCTTGGGAAAGAAGTATGTTTTTATCATAATAAGATGAAGACAGGTGTTTAAAAGGGTTTAAATATTTTACTACAATGTCTAGCTATTTTTAAGTGGCACTTTTTTGACAAACACATTACATTTTGTATTTTTCATGAGCCTTCAAATTTTTGAAAGAACTGCAACCAAAATATTGCCATTTGCCAGTTGTGGTGGCACATGCCTGTAATCCCAGCACTTGGAAGGCTGAGGCAGGAGAACAGCCATGAGTTCA